AAACCGTTGACAGGGAACTTTCCTGAAAATGATCAAAAATACACACATCTTCACCAGAAAGATGAGTATCTGCACTGAGAGATGTCTCTCCACTAGTGATACAACTTTCCTCTTTCTGAAAGGAAACAAATCTTTTTATAGGTTTCCTTTTGCTTTTCCTAGTCTCAACCAAGTGATTTTGATTAACACCAGAATCGAGTTCACCATCATGCAATTCAGAGAGAAAGTTAGTGGTATTCTCCTTCATCGATTCATCAGCCCTCAAAGTTTTTGTTATGCTACCATTCTCCAGTTCAGAACCAAGAGAGCTTGTTCCTTTTGGTTCACATCCTGGAATCTCCTCCCCCATACAATTTACATTACGAAGATCTAACAACCGACTGTGTTCATGATTCGAATACTCAGAATCAGAGTCATAGTTATCATCTTCACTGCAGCTGCTTGTGCTATCAGATGATGCCACTGAATAAGAATCTGCAGACAGCTGCAAAATTTCTTCCACCAAGTTATGACGTCGATATAAGACATCTTTCTGATAATGAGGGGGTGATCCAGGATATGTTGATGATGAAAATGGTCCCGTCACATTCTGGCTCATATTCAATGTCAACATATTTCCATTTTCCCCTAATTTCTGCCTGGCAGGTGCTGTAGGAAACAGGTTGTTTGGTTCAACTGACACAGTTTCCATCGCATCATCTAAAAATTCCTGATGCTTCTGATTTTGACCTGTACTTTGGGATTCTAATGAAGATATGTCATCAGTAATCTTTAGCGTCTCATTACCTTCAACGTACGTCATATCATCCATGCCGGTTTTACGATCCACATAGGAACCATTTCGTTCTAAACTATTCCTATGGCTCTTATCTCTTGAAGATCGTAAAGACCTGGAAGCATATCTTGGTGTTCCACCATGCTGCCTCGGGATTGTTCTACTCTTTGTAGTGTATTTCTTCTCCAAATTAATACCCCGGCTGTCTTTGCTGACATCTGCAAAATCCTCTGATGAATGGTCCATCCATTCCATGATTTCTCGCAACCACAGAACAGAACGCTCTCTCTTGAGGTCTTCAACTTTCCTTATAAGACCAAATATATCGGCCTCTTGATCACACTTCGCATTCTCTTTGTTCTCCTGCCCACATGAAGCTGACTCTTGGTCAGAATTCACGTAGGTGCTCTCTACCTCACTATCAATAGCAGCGAGACGGCAGATCTTTTTCTGTTAAAGGTTAAAACAGAATAATAAGCTTTCCGTAATTATTTATCAAACAAAACAAACCAAGATATTGAAAAGCACAAATCGAGAAGATCAATGCGACATGTAATTGGCTCAAAAAGTTCTCCAGAAGTCACACCGCAATGCTCAAATAACTGGCTCGAATTTCTTTTTCTCTCATTTTCATTTTTCTGGATTCGGTATTCACTATATAC